GATTCGAAGGTTGTGCACTGGGACTCAAAGCCTTTGCAGCCCTCGCGGCTTCGATACCGAAGCGCCTTCGTAATGTCGACACCCGACTTCGCGAACCGCAAAGCACGCCGTGGAAGAAGCATGACAGCGACTAAACCACACTTATCGCGATGTTGGCTTTTATTGGAGGGCAACGAAGATCGACGACATACAGGAAATGGACCCGGCCACTGGCACCGTCGTCAACCCCAATAAAACCCTTTTAGGGCAATTCACAAGGCGAGCACTTTTGCGCACTACCGGGCCGCCGTCATTGAAGACGGACGGGGAAGTCGAAGCTGATAAAATTAACGGTCAGATTTACGCGGAGTCTCAAAGTTCACCGGGATCCGAATTTGGCGGGTGCTTGGGTAGCCAGGAACCTATTATCGCGCAGCCGGTGCCAGTGGAAGGGAGCGCTAGCGGGTGCACACAAGGAAGGCTTTGCCGCTCTCAATTTGTCGTTGTACGATAGCACGCGCAGAACAAAGCGTAATGGTGGATGCACCACCACACAATTCGGCGCAGCGCAACCCCAAACTGACCCCTATAAATACCGATTCGAACCACCGTGTAATCAGATGCACTAGCAGTCTAGCACAAGAGGTTGACGAACTCGGACATATACACTGCGCAAACACGAATCAATCAGAATGGCTTTTACCGGAGGGCAACGAAGATCGACGGCCAGATCATCAATCTCCATACGTTGGAAGCGACGGCATCGAGCGACCGAACGAGGCAATTCGACGCAGCGCGACCCGCCACTGACACCGTCGTCAACCCCAATAAACCCCTTTTAGGGAAATTTCAAAGGCGATCAGTTTTGCGCACTACCAGGCCGCCGACATTGAAGACGGACGGGGAAGTCGAAGTTGTTGAAAACAACGGTCAGATGCAAGCGGAGCCTCAAAGTCCGTCGGGATCCGAATTTGGCGGGTGATGGAGCAGCCAGGAACCTGTTTTCGCGCGGCCGGTGCCAGTGGAAGGGAGCGCCAGCGGGTGCACATAAGGAACGCTATGTCTGGGCGCACCCAAGGAAGGGTCTGCCGCTCTCAAGTTTTCGTTGCACGATAGCAGGCGCAGAACAAAGGGTAATGGTGGATGCACCACCACATAATTCGGCGCAGCGCGACCCCAAACTGACCCCTATAAACAATGATTCTCACCACCGTCTAATCAGATGTACTAGCACAAGAGGTTGTCGAACTCGGAAGTGTATACTGCGTGGAAACGAAAAATGTAGAATGACTGTTATTGGTGGGCAACGAAGATCGACGGCACACAGACAATGGACCCGGCCACTGACACCGTCGTCAACCCCAATACACCCCTTTAAGGGCAGTTTCAAAAGGGAGAACTTTTGCGCACTACTAGGCCGCCAGCATTGAAGACGGACGGGGAAGTCGAAGCTGTTGAAAATAACGGTCAGATTTACCCGACGCCTCAAAGTCCGCCGGGATCCGAATTTGGCGGGAGCTGGAGTAGCGAGGAACCGGTTTTCGCGCGGCCGATGCCAGTGGAAGGGAGCGCCAGCGGGTGCACATAAGGAACGCTATGTCTGGGCGCAAAGAAGGAAGGCTCTGCTGCTCTCAGGTTTTCGTTGTACGATAGCACGCGCAGAACAAAGGGTAATGGTGGATGCACCGCCACTCAATTCGGCGCAGCGCGACCCCAAACTGACCCCTATAAACGCCGAATCTCAACACCGTCTAGTCAGATGCACTAGCACAAGAGGTTGTCGAACTCGGACATGTACACAACGCAGACGCCAAAAATATAGAATGGTTTTTATTGGAGGGCAACGATGATCGACGGCATACAGGAAATCGACCCGGCCACCGACACCGTCGTCAACCCCAATAAACCCCTTTTCGGGCCATTCACAAGGCGAGCACTTTTGCGCACTACCAGGCCGCCGGCATTGAAGACGGACAGGGAAGTCGAAGCTTTTGAAAACAACGGTCAGATTCACACGGAGCCCCAAAGTTCGTCGGGATCCGAATTTGGCGGGTGCAAGAGTAGCTTGGAACCTGTTTTCGCACGGCCGGTGCTAGCGGAAGGGAGCGCCAGCGGGTGCACACAAGGAACGCTATGTCTGGGCGCAAAGAAGGAAGCCTTTGCCGCCCTCAAGTTTTCATTCTACGATAGCACGCGCAGAACAAAAGGTAATAGTGGATGCACCACCACACAATTCGGCACAACACGACCCCAAACTGACCCCTATAAACACCGATTCTCACTGCGGATTTCTGTGGCATGAAATTTGTTGAACCAGCGCGGGAATACGGCCGCTTGCAAGTCCGGAGTTTGAAGAACGCCGAGGTCTGCGTAACGCGAGCAATTTTGTGCACCCAGAGGCCTCTGATAATCTGATCACACGCGATAGTGGAGGCCGTCGTAACGGGCGGTTGAATTTTTCGCAGGACCTCAAAGTCCGCCGGGATCCGAACTTGGCGTTTGTTGGACTGGCGAGGAATCAGTTTGTGCGGGGGATGTCGGTTATCTCGAGGATGGGTGTTGAAGTGCACAGAAGGAATGCTATGCGTGTCTGCCTGGTCAGGGAGGCCCTGCTGCTGTTCGCAAGTGTCTATTCGACGAGAGCACTCAAAACAGAAATGGTAGTCGTAGGTGCACCACGTCAGAAATCGGCGCAGCGCGGCCCCCAATAGACCCCCATAGACGCCGATTCTCCCCACCGACAAAGCGAGCTTGTGCAGCGTCGCAGTCACAAATGTTGTGATCCATGATGACAATGACTGGACCCACCAAAAAAAATCACCATGCCTGGTGGCCCCCCCTGCAACCCCATCTAACCACGATTCGTCCAGTCGACAAGGCGAGGCCCGACTCGCTCGCTGCCAACGTCGACATATGACAGCGCGAACCGCCATGCGCACGGAGACACGGGAATGTCGGCAGCCAGATTGCACGCATGTCGATGACGACACCACCGTCGGCTACCCCCTCAAACCCCAACGAGGCAATTCGACAGGCTGGCACTTTTGCGCACCCAACGGTCTCTGGCGACCAGAACACATGCGAAAGGCCAGGCCGTCGAAAATGGCCGGTTAGATTCCAGTCGAACCTCGAAGTCCGGCGAGATCCGAACTTGGCGGCTGCCGGAATAGAGAGGAACGGGTTTCTTCGCGGCAAGTCGCATATTGGATGGGCTGATTAGCGGGAAACGCGACGATCCACATATGAGCTTCAGTGGACAGAACCAAAACCCATCTTTAAGCACCCTCAAACAGCCCCTACGACCCCCAATCAGTCCCGCAGAAAAGGCAAGCTCGCACTCGGGCAATGGCAGGTCCACACGCAGGTTCATGGTGGTTAATGAAATTCCACAAGATCCGAACTTGCCCTCAGTTCCACTGAGGGATCACGAACAGGTGCCGACCACGAAGTCCGCCCGGATCCGAACTTGACATCTGTTGCTGCATGTCGACCAAGAGCAAGACACACTTTGTTTTTGCTGAGGTCCCAGTGACAAGAATGTTTTTTGGCAGGAACGCCACCCAAAGAAAAGTCATGTACCCAGGACTCCGCAAAGATCCTTGCAAACCGTAAGCATGTCAGTTCAGCGATGCGGTCGAAACAACAATTACCATGCGAGCAGCTCACGACTTCGCATGCTTCAGATCCAAGTCCGCCGGGATCCGAACTTCGTGTTGTCGCCCTCGCACGGTGACAACTGGCAGGGCGTTCTGAACTATCGACCCCACACCCTAAAGCTGGAAAATTTCTCGCAAAAGATAGTCATCAGGGCACCCGGGGATGGCATTGTGACTGCGAATGCGAAACCAACAACCGCCAAAAATGAACGTCGAGTCGCGCGTGAAAACCTGGCGAAAATGGAACTTCGGATGCCGGTGAACCACAACAATCATGCGTTGTTTTCTCAGAGGCGCTTGCTCTCTCAACGGCCGCGCGATGACAACACAATGCCACTTCGGTGAGAGCACTGCGCATGATTGTTGTAGTTCGCCGGTGTCCGAACTTCCCGTCTCGCCAGGCGACGACACGCGACTCACCTTTTTGTGTTTGGCGGTTGTTGGTTTCGCGCCCGTAGTCACAATGGCGACCCCCCATTCCCCGAAGAGTAAGACGTTTCCCATAGGCGGCCGGGTTGTTTGTTATTGAACGAGGTCAGTTTTTCGTGTTGAGGTTCTCGTCACGAAACATGCAGCGCTCACGCCGAAGAAACGGCATTGTCATTGCAGCGAGCGGTGTTGTCGTTCTCCATCGCGCGCACACAACGTGTGCATTCTTCGTCCTGGATCCCGCAAATGTTGTGCGCACAGCACTGGCATTTGTCGACCGCAATGTGCTGTCGCGTCCCTAATGACCTGCGCCAGGCACGCGCGCTCAACATTCGTGGCCTCTATGGTGGATCATGTGCACGTCGTGTGCGCGGGATGGAGACGACACCAGCTCTCCCGGGATTGGCGCCATAGTCTCTCCGGGGAGGGAGGCACAAGTGTTGTGACATGAACATGAAAACGGAACGATGACCCCGTCCTGTTGTTGAACACCATCCCTCTCACTGCACGCCATGTGGACGGTGGACATCCTTCGCACGGTGGCCACCGCGCGATGCTTAATACCAACCCTGGTCGCGCGCAGCCCATGTGGCGCCCTCTGGTCGTTCAACACTCCCGCCGCGACCACTGTCTGTCCTGCGAGGGATTCAAACCATCAGTCGTGGATTTGCAGTCTGATGAACGTTTGTCGACGGGATCACGTGTTCTGCTGGAAAAAGGCGCCACGACCGCGCGGGAGGGTTTTGCAATGTTCGCTCTGGGCAACCACGTGGGAGTGTTTTGCAATGTTCGTTTGGCTCGTCTCCAATGCCAAGCGAAGCAGGAATCATGGGGCCTGCCGCAAGAAACGAAGGAGTGAGAACAGAAGGAAATACAGAAACCATCTGGCCCATCGCCAACCGAAGCTGGAATCATGGAGGCGATCGCGTGGGACGAGCGAGAGGGAAGCAGAAAGGAACACAATAACCGTGTGCCCCGATGTCTTCGTCATCCGTTCCCTCCGTCCCCGCCACTTGCGACACGTGCCACAACATGATGATCATCGTGGTGTTGATGAAGATGATGATGATGCCGATTGCGCTGCAGATGATGATGATGATGATGATGACGAGGGCGGCGGCGATGTTGATGACTACGACGATGTCGGATGATGATGACGATGACGTTGATGATGTTGCTGATGATAATGAGGATGATGATGATCATGATGATGATGATCATGATGATGATGATGGTGTTGATGTTGATGACAACGATGTTGATGATGATGATGACGATGAGGATGGCGATGAGGATGACGATGAGGATGATGACGATGATGACGATGATGACGACGATGATGATGATGATGATGATGATGATGATGATGATGATGATGATGATGATGATGATGATGATGATGATGGTGAGCAAGAGTCATGGGGCCGCTCGCGAGGAGCGAACGAGTGGGAAGCAAAAGGGCATACAGAAACCATGTGCCCCAATGTCATCGACATCCGTTCCCGCCGTACTCGCAACTCGCGACACGTGGCGCGATGTGGCTGCTCCCATGCGCCGGCAAGCATGTGCGATGACTGACACGCGGGCAGGCAGAAAACCACTTTACCTTGACAAGGGCACAGTGAACACGATGGCGCAGCTCTCTGACGGGGCACAAATCTTAGACGAGGTGCAGTTCTTCGACGATGGCGAATCGTGCACGACGGCGCGACTATTCGACAAGGGTTGAGCGCAGACCACGGCGGCCACTTGCTAATGCAGAACGCAAAGAAGGAATGTCGAAGCGCCGACAAGTGGACCCCAGCAGCGGGCTGAACTTCTCAAAAGACTTGGCGACGAGAGGGACGCCCGCAGACACGTGGCGCAACAGCGGAGCAACGAAGGCGATGGAGGAGGTCGTCGAAGGGACGTCGCGCGCGAATGCGTTCGTCACGGCTGGAGATGCAAATGCGCTGCACCGGACCCCATGCAGCGGAGCCCCAAACTGTCGTCGCACCCCATGGAAAGACCCGCGTGTGTCCCCCCGTGCGGCCTCGGACCCCGCTCGCCAGCCAGGAGACGCCAATGCCCGCGAACCCCTCCAACATCCCCTCCCGCGGTCCCCCACCCCCCCCCCCCCCCCCCCC